TGCTGAATTAGACATAGCGTGTGTGGAGACTAAACTGAGTCTTTGAAATGCCTTAACACTGTTGTTGCTGTTTTTCCTTTGCCATCTTATAGCCTATTGGGAATCATAATTGCTGTTTAAGTTACCTTTGTCTTTAACAAAACCTGATTAAATTGGCCCACACTGCAACCTGCAAGTTTTAAGAATTATAACTGTGTAAATGATGACTTCTTGGGAAAAAAACAATGAATGAAATGAGATGCCATGTAAATAGCTTGCAAAATATCATTAAGGACAAAAAAAGGAAAAAAGAAAACAAAAGGGGCTAACAGGTGGCACGGTGGTTAAGGGCACTGGACTCCCACATGGCCGACCATGGCTTGAGTCCCGAAGCTGGTGGCTTGCTTTCTTAAACCCCCCCCCCAACCGTCCCTCTCTGGGCAAATTGAAATAAATAACTACTTACTCAGTTATTAACTCTTCTTGAGTTGGAGTCTGTCTTTCTTACTCTATTATTATGAATCACTTCAATAGTTTTCTAACTGGACATGTCACTACTATATGGTAATTTTGGTCATTTTTGGAAACTCTTTCTTCCTTTGAATTTCTTGCATGACACCTGCTTCATGCCTCTCATACTAGTTTGATTTCCACTTAAATCCTACCCTCCAACCTCAAACTCCAGACACCACAACACAAAGCAAATGCAAGTAACAACAGCAAGAAAAGTGATACCAAACCAAACTGGAATTGTACAGCTAAAAACATGTTTTTTTTCCATAAATTTCATTGCTTACACTTCTGGGAGAATTTCCTATTTACGGACATTGTCTTTTTTTTTTTTTTTTTTTTTTTTTTGCCAGAGTGTGTGTGCATTAACCAGAGAGAGGCAGAGAGGAGCAAAGACAGGGAAAGTGAGAAATCACCCCCCAGGGAGGATGGCCACTTTGCAATCCCTTTTCCTCCATTTTCCCCTCTTTGTACTTTTTAAATCCCCTGCAGCGCTCACTTTTTTCTAAGCTAGCAGTTATACTGATATAAATAAATATTTATTTACTCCCATTTTTTCGGAAACAGAGTTGAATGGAATGCTAATGAGATATAGCCATTTGCAGGGTTGGAATGTGAAATCAAGTCTAACTAACTACAAAGCCATTGTGTGTGTGTTTATGTATGTTTTGATTGATTCTTGCATTGTTTTTATTTACAAAAGGTTATGGGGCTCTAACACATAGCATATGATGTTTATAAATAACAAAGCACTGGATATGTATGTGGCTAGAATACTGAATATGAAAAGCTAGCTTAGAGATTCAGCTCTTCTAAAAGCATTGAAAATTCTACTCATAACATTCGGGGACAATGTTGGCATTAAAATTTTATGATTAGTGTAGATACACAAAGCTAATATTATTCATATGGATATCTGAGAATTCAGATAAATTAATTGACTCCCTTATTAGTGACCTTATCCAAAGCAAGAGCTTTTAGGTCTCCCATATCTACTTACAGACTTGACTTACATATCTTCTGTTTTAGTAGCTAATTGTTTTAGATCATCCCTGCAAGGTTCCCATGTCTTTCTAGTCTACAAATTGCTTCCTGCAATATACAAATCAGACAACTTGATTTCACAAATCTATAGTACCAATATTGCATCGGAAATGAATTAGAGTGAAAGGAGTCCTGGCATTTAACTTTCTAAACTCTGTGGAATTGCCTCTCTCTGGCATGGGACTACACTTGGCATGTCTTGACTCTCATGTTCTAGTGTTATACCATTTGCAAATGGATTTCCTATTTCCTGTGCCCAAGCAGTGTTTTTTTTTTGGGGGGGGGCGGGAGGAGTGGAGAGACTTTTACTCTAGGGCTCGTGAACCCACCTGAGAGACAGAAAATGACAAATCACCACACCCCCTTCTTGAGGGGAATGGCTATGCCACAATCCCTTCTCCATTCTCCACTCAGGATTTTGGGCAAACATGTAGATGTTCCCGGCCTGAGTCTCAAGTCACCAGGTCTAGGACTCGAACCATGGTTGACCATGTGAAAGTCCAGTACCTTAACCACCACACCACCTGCTGACCACCCAGTTTCTTTTTTTAATTTATCTGTCACCAGGATGATTTTCAGGGCATTGGCTATAAGGAAAGAGGGAGGATTGGTCTTATAATTGTAAAAAGGCAGTGGTTATAGTCTGCCAGTAAAATGATGAGGAATCTAGACCTTTGCATTATAAGATTTCAGAGAAAGAAGACAAGCACATGGTGGATGTTTAGTTTATAAAGATAAGAATTACTTCAGAAATGGCAGAAAATTACTCTTTATATTTTGGAGAGTTTTTTTTTTTTTGCTATAGGGTGTGTGCGCTGGTCAGAAAAAGAGGGAGACAGAGAGAGAGAGATAGAAAGCGAGAAATCACCCCCCAGGGGGGATGGCCATGCTGCAACCCCTTCTCCTCCATTCTCCTCTTGGGATCTTGGGCATGCACGCACACGTGCTAAGGAAAGTATGTTCCCAGATTCGGTGAGCAAAATTAATTTCTCTATGTAAACACTAGAATTCCAGCATATCCCCCTCTCTTCCCTGGAGGATCAAGTAACTTCCTCAACATGGCTGCAGAGATCCACATGCCAGACCCAGTGTGCCTCATCGAGAACTTAGATGAGGAACTGCAGGTTAATCCAGAAGCGGTGAAGATCCTGTCCACCATTACACAGCCTCTGGTGGTGGTGGCCATCGTGGGCCTCTACCGCACAGGCAAATCCTACCTGATGAACAGGCTGGCTGGGAGGACAAAGGGTGAGTGGCATGATCTTGGATAATCACCTTCCATGCACCCACGTAAACATCCAGGTGGGGGATGTGAGGAAAGAAGGTTAGAGATTGGGACAAAAGTTGACAGTCAGTGTTTGGGCCATGGTTCTTCTTTCTATCTTCTAAGAGATTAATGGTAGCTTTCTGTTCCTCATGCATCACTTTTTTTTTTTTCTTAGTTTGTTTTGTTTTTCTTAATATTACCCTGGAAAAGTATAATATACTCTTTTTGTAAGGAATGAAATGACTTACATATGCATAATTTATGAACTATTACACTTTTAGCAGCATATTAGTACTTAAAAACATCACATTTCCAACCTATAGTATTTGATACTATTTTTTCATTCTTCTGTTGTAATTCAGGTTAATATTGATTATACTGTTGTCTCTTTATTTTGCTTTCCTAAAACCCTGGCTCCAATTACCACAAAAATCCTGTTTCCAGAGCCCCTCCTCTGTTACAAGCTGTCCATTCCCCTGGCAGGTTTCTCTGTTGGAGGCACGGTGCAGTCTCACACCAAGGGAATCTGGATGTGGTGTATGCCTCATCCTGAGAACCCAAATCACACCCTGGTTCTGCTTGACACTGAGGGCCTGGGAGATGTAGAGAAGGTAAGGAAAGAGAAGTTTTTCTTTCTTTTTTAAAAAAGAATTATTTTATTTAATTTATTATTATTTTAAAAAATTGCTGAGAGAAAGAGAGAGAAAGTGAGAAAGCAAGTTGCTGAATCTGGGATTTGAACCATGGTTGGTCACATGAGAATCTAGCACCTTAACCACTATACCACTTGTCAGCTCTGAGACTTCCTTTTGGATTAACTTCATCTCTGAACCTTCTTTAGATGAGGAGTTTGCATTTTTGTTTTTATTTCTCCTCTAACCTTATACTTCCACTTGACCAAATTATACTCTTCTTTCCTTTCGATATTAGTTGTATTTATTATTACTGTTATATTTAGTCAAAGAGAGAAAGAGAGAGAGAGAGAGAGAAAGTGAGAAAGTAAGCTGCCAGGTCCAGAATTTAAACTGTGGTTGGCCATGTGGGAGTCCAGTACCTTAACTGCCACACCATCTGCTGGTCCCTCTTTTGATTTTTAATTTGAAAGGCTGAAGCAAGGGGAGGGGGGGTGGATAAATAAATAAACACACACACACACACACACACACACACACACACACACACGTGTGTATTTTTAATCATTACTCACCTGTGAATACCGTAAGAAATGACTTCAATCTGTTCTGACACGTGGGTGGACCACAAGAACGATACCCAGATTTTTGTGATGGTGATCTTACCCATTTTACAGGTATCTAACTCTAGTAGTATGAGAGACTGTGAGTTGGCAATATATGGATCAGTGTATAGTGTTTAATGATGACAAGAACATTCAAAGTTCATGTTTTGACAGTCATTTTTGTCTTGTTTAATCTTTGTGGGTAAAGAGCCTATTTCTAATCATTATTCACCTGTGAATACCATAAGAAATGACTTCAATCTGTTCTGACATCCAGGTGGACCACAACAAGGACACCCAGATTTTTGCGCTGGCGATCTTACTGTGCAGCACCTTCGTATACAACACCAAGAACAAAGTAGACCAGGAGGCTATCGATCTACTCCAGTATCCTTCTGTGGTCCAGGATGGCACCAAAGCCAGACAGAACTCATCTATTCACAAGCTATCTATCTATAAGACCTTATGAATTACAAAAATGAAAATACAAATACTTAGGATACTTATTATATATCCTAGCCTTTGATAGGTACAAGATGAATTAGGCATATATATTCCTTGCAGAAATGGAACGTAGTTGACATAAACATTAAACGAGAGAATCAAGAGATCTACTGAGAAAGCAATGATTTGGTTAATGCATGAAGGAACATAAAGCTTTGGGAAGACAGAGACATAAATATGGGCTTAGGTACAGTTTTTCTGCCAGTTTTTCTTAATCACATCTCAGCAAGGTGACAGAACTGACAGATCTGCTCCAAACAAGAACCTCACCCAGCCTTGATAAGGCTGAAGGTGCTGCTGACTTTGTGAGCTTCTTTCCAGACTTGGTGTGGACCCTGAGAGATTTCTACCTAGATCTGGAAGTAGATGGGCGACTCATCACAGTAGATGAATACCTGGAGAACTCCCTGAAAATAAAGGAAGGTAACAGGGACTGCAGTTTTGGAAAGAGGGAGAAGAGTAACCTGAGAAATAATTTTTGTGTACGTGGTTAGATTTATACTTTATCAAATTTAATCACCTATAAAACAAATCATAAATATTATTCATGTAGAATTAATGAATAGATTCAATATTAAATTGCCTTGTTCTCCTATTCTTGGAACAGATTTTGTTTTTTCCTTTCTCAGATTAGTTACTTTTTATCTTTTTGCTTAATCTTTATGAAGATACCTTAAACTAAGTAACATATGGCAGAAATATTTTTTTGAGAGCAATAAAGTAAATCTTACTAAATAAATCCTATGTTTTTCTTGCCCAGGTTGTGATGAAAGAATTCAAAAATTCAATTTGCCCCGTCAGTGTATACAGAGGTTTTTTCCAGTAAGGAAGTGTTTTATTTTTGACTTGCCTGCTCCTGGGAAGAAGCTTACCCGGCTTGAGACACTGCCTGAAAATGAGCTCAATCCTGAATTTGTGCAACAGGTGGAAAAATTCTGTTCCTATGTCTGGTCTTCTGCAGTCAAGACTCTTCCAGGAGGCATCAAGGTTGATGGACCCTGTACGTACTTTTTAGGATTTTCCTTCAATTCAACATAAAGTAAAAGGAGCCCTTGTAAGATTTCCCTCGCAGCACTAATATTGATAAAAATACAGGCAGTTACTACTATGAAAACCATGTGTTCTAGCTACTAACTTCTGGAGGCAGCAAACATAATTCCAATGCTTTTTAGTAATAAGCAAATATAAGTAATATACATAGGAATATAACTTGAAGAAAAGATCAGATTAAAGAAGTACTCACCATTGCTGGACTAGTCTGAGTCACATGGGTTAGCAGTGTTCGTTCCACAAATACTTTGGATACTTGTTATATATCCTAGCCTTAGATAGGTTCAAGATGAATTAGGCACACATATTCCTTACAGAAATGGAACTTAGTTGATAAACAAAGGCCCAAGTTGTCTAGAACCCTGATCAAAATCTAAGTGGACTTTTTGCTTTTTGATCTTGTTATTCTGTTTTTTCTTTCCTTTCCTTTTCTTTCTTTCTTTTTTTTTTTTTTTTTTAGTTTTTGCCATAGGATGTGTGCACTGCCAGAGAGAGAGAGAGAGAGAGAGAAAGAGGGAAAGTGGGATGGCCACGTTGCAGTCCCTCCTCTTCCATTTTCTAGGGTTTGGGGGCATGCACACTCATGTGCCTGGTGTAATTTTCAAGCTGCAGGGGGTCTGGAACTCATACCGCTGTCAACCATGCGGGAGTCCAGCACCACCTACTTGCCAGGTTTTTTTTGTTTTGTTTTAATGGACTCCATGTCTCAGGACTCTGTAAATAATTGTTACATTATAGAGGAAAGTTGAGTGCAAATGAAAGTGTGTAAATGACAAGAAGTAAACAGAAATGTTCCAACCAAGAGTAAGAAAAACCTTGTCTAATTTGTTCACTTTGTACTTTTTTTGAGCAGGATAACTCTTTACCACCTTAACCTTACAAAACTGAAAGAGAAAAGGGAATTTTTAAAAGAATGAAAAACTGAAAGGGAAGATTACAGAATTCAAAAGCCTATAGCACCCTAATCAAATAAATATGGTTGATTTTTATATAATTATCTCATTTCTCCACAGGAGAAAGGTGAAATGTGGACAATCACATATATAAGATTTCCCTATTTTCTTTTTTGAACAATGCTCCTTTTCCCAGAGGAAGAAAGACGTGGCTTCCTGATCACAAAATTCCCAGAGGAACTTTTCTGGTCATTTGAATATTGTCCAGAATACTGAATCATTTTAGACAATGTACCATTAAGTTAGCATTCTTCTTCTTCTTTTTTTTTTTTTTTTTGAGAGAG